TTTGTTCGTTTTTTTACAATTGATGATATCATCGCAATAGGTGATAAAGAATTTGTTGAATGTTTTCGTTTATTAGTTGATCGTAATGATGGTGTTTTATTTAATTCCTCATTTCGATGAATAGATTGAAGAGTTAATGATTCATTCGTTAAGGATTTTTTATTTGATAACTGACGTGTTAGTAAAGGCGTACTGGTTTGAGGACTGCAATAAAAAATACACTAAGTAATTGAATATATTCAAAAGAAAAAAAAAATTATTTTTATACTTTGAACATAAATCATCTTGTAAAAGTTTTTTTCGTATTCGTTGTGTTTTTGATGAATTTAAAATAGTTTTAGTTAATAATTGATTATTTTCTTTAATTATTTTTGATGAATGAAGTCTTTTAAGTAATTTTCTATTTGATGATTTTAATGTTTTATTTTCACGTAAATATTTCATTGCTTTTTGTACACAATGTTGTCGAATATTATTATGATTGGGTTTATTTGGTAAGAAATAATTCGACATACCGTCCATAAGTTGAGCAACAGGACGAGATACAATTTCTGACGTATTATTATCATTTGAAATATTACTACGACGAGAACGTGTTGATGATGATGATAATGATGAAAGATTTTTATTTGGTGATGACATTATTTCATTATGACAAACATGACAAGCAAAATCACCTTTAGGAATGCTATTTAATGGTGGATTACAACATTTTGGGTGTATACCAGAATCACAAAAATCACAGAATAATAACTTAAAATAATAGAAAACAAATTTAGAAACAAGAAAACAATAGAAAAATATTTTGATTTCATACTGAATCATCACTTTTATTACAGACAATACACCGTTTACAATCAATACATTGCCAATGAATAGTTCGAATTTTTTTGACCAATTTTTCTGAATATTGTAAACATGATGGATGTCCTAAATAATAAAGTTTTTTTTTCAAAATTTCGAAAATTAAATTGTACCTGAGTTTCCACATTCAGCACAATGTATCATTTCTTCTGGAACACCATTGGCATTTTTTTCATTATCACCCAAACAAAATCCACATATACCAATTGGTTTAACAGTTTTCTAACAAAAAGATTTATTTGAAGCATTTAAAAGAATTTAAGTTTAATAATACTTTTTTATCATGACTAGCTGATGATAATCGTGTTTGTCTAGTTGTTGTTGATGTGGTCGTGACCTTGGTCGACGATGATGATCGTCGATCTCGTGTGCCTTTGGCTACCATTGAAAGTTTTTTATATCACATGATCTAGAAAACACAAGAAAAACAACGATGGAATTTTCTTTTCTGTTTTATTTCATGAACAAAAGTCAGTCGGTCAATGTCTCAGTTGACACACGAGGAAGAAAGATGAAAGATGATTCATCAACCGCAACAATAGTAAATATACACAACAATGCACCTTGAATTAATGCAATGAATTTTTAGATTTTTCAAAAAGAAAAATTTGAAGACAATCAAATGATTTTCTTAATAAAATAATCAAAATTTGTTTACTTTTTCCTTTACCAAGATGGATTTATTGAAAAAAAGATGTAGAACTCAGCGCACCCCGGTCATCAGCGACATCTACAGCGAAAAGAACTAGGTTTAATTTCTTTAAAGATTCAGTAGTTATGAATATAATCATTATTGAATAGTGATCACAAGAGAATATTTTTGTCAGTATTCTGGGTATGTTTAAATGAATTAAATCTTATTTTATAGTAGAATTTTTTTAGGGAGCTGCGCGTCTGAATTCACAAATACATGCACCCACACTTCGCTATTTTCTTGATCACGTTTATAGAAATTCAACTAAAACTATTCCCGTATAGCTGAATATTTTGTTGTTATTGTTCGTCTGACAAAACTTCTTTATTCTTTAGCTGTTCAATTTCCATTTTTGTTAACATAATGCTTTTGTCAATTGAACGAAAACATTTGATTTATTAATCCTCGAGTGAGATGAGAAAGGGAACAACAATAAATAATTGTGTGTTGACTTTTCTTCTGGGAGTAACTAATACCTGGATTCTTTATTTCTTCGTGTTCATAGCATTTCTAATACGATTTTCAAGCGAAGCAGTAATGCATAGTTTACTTATACTTTTACTACGTTGTCCTAGCAGTCATAGCTTACGATTAGGAGGAGGAAGCAGGATGATTTCCCTCTCCTAAATTTTTTCTTACATTCTGCCTTTCTCCCAGAAAAGTTTCTGTTATAAAGAGCTAACGCTTTTTTAATTTTTCGGTGGACTAGATTGGCTATGCATAAGCGAAGTTCTGTTTCCAATTTTTTTAAGAGAACAAGCTATTTTCTTTCAAAAAGAAATTGAATCAGGTAAAAGAGAAAATGAATAAACCTCAAACAGAAAAAAAAACTAGGCTGCCACTTCAGCAAAGCTCGAATAGACAAGGCGGCTGACTGCACGAGCCCGAACAATGCCAGAGCACGACTGTATACGATATCTGCTATTTCAAAATCTTAGACTCATATAGAGGAAATAATTATGAATTTAAGTCTCTTTCTGATATCTTGACTCAACTGACAAGTGAGAGATAATGAATCTGAATCTGCTATTGCTATATAAAGAAAATTGCAGCTGTCAGGCCATACGATTAACGAGTGAAAGATGGGGATTTTCCCGCACCTCATTCTTTTCTTGCGTTCTGCCTTTCTCCCGGGAAATTTTTGTTAGCTGCTGTTTAGCGGGTTTTTCGGTATTTTCAATAGAGGAAATGCACCAAAAACCATGCAAAAGAGAAAGCTTTCTCCCTAGCTTTCAAAGAAAAGCAGCTGTTTTTGCGAAAGATAATGCGTTCTCTTTAGGTTTTCCAGGAGAATCAGGCACTTTCTCCCAAATAGAAAGCTTTCTTTAAGTTTCGGCTACTTTCTCCCTGACTTTGGGAGACTTTCTCTCCCTCGTGAATAAAACCAAACGAAAGCTCCGCGAGCAGTGTTTCCAATGACAGATGTGCCAAATAGAAACGGAAATGATAAAACATCTCCTGTTTTGAACATGCATGGTGTTTTGCTTTTTGTTTACAAAAGCAGAATCAGTAGTGGTTTTAGAGAGGAACACTGAGAGCGATTATCATCTCCAGCTAGAAACATTTTCTGGCTTTTCATAGCAGAAATGACCAAAAAAACGAACTAATACTACCTCTAATGAAAATTCAAAATATATTTTTCATCAAGAACGCTAGTTTTCTGACTGAACTGTGCCCTGTATCGAAACCCGACATCCGTTCCAGAGCCAAGTATGGACAGTAAACTTTCCTAAATATGACAACCCATCGTTCCCCAGATAATTGTACATATGCATGTATTTTTTTGTCGAAAAAAAAAAATAGTCAGTTAACTTACTCTTATGTTTTTTCGAATGCATTACTTTTTTCTTCTACTTGCTATTCTTTCTTTAATTATATCAAAAAAAAACAACAATGTATTTTTTTTGCTTCTGATATTTTTATTATTATTGATATGTACTTTTTATTAAAAGACGAATTATTCTTTAATATATCATTTTCAAAGACTTCTTCGTTTTACACTTTCTGCTTCAAAAAAGAAGGTGCTGTAGACGAACCCTTTGTTAATATCAACAAAATGCGCGAAAACATTTTATTCTCGATTCTCATTACAAAAAAATGCTGTTAACATTAACTACTTTAAACACAAGCAAAGTACGAACCAACAATTTATGTCAATATTTTTCGAAAAAAGAAAACACTGAATTTTTTTTCCAAACACTGTTACTACCTTGAGTACTCTGCTTTTGCTTGATATACTTAATGTTAACAATATTAATATATCAAGTCAAGTCAATATGAAGTAAACCTGATTCGTTCTTTCTACCATAGATATTAATCAATAGCTGCTCTATCATTTCAATTCGTTAATGCACTTCTAAAATATTAAAATAATATTAAAATATGTTTTTCAAATAAAAATCTTCACTTATCTTTAATTTCAAATTCATTTTCTTACTTATTCATATAGTAACGTTAGACACCAACTTTCCTCATTGTATCCAATGAAATAATTGTTTATTTACTATTTAGATATATGGAAAGAGACATAATACAAACTGGGTATTCTTGTTAACTTCTTCATTTTAATGGTTTTCTTTTTCAATAAATATTCTAATCGAAATTTTTAATTTAATTAATTTTAGACCAAGAAAAAAAGAAAATCAAGGAGACATCTAATTCATCATGCCCTACGATCGTTTAGTTCAAGTTGGTCGTGTAGCTTATATAGCCTATGGTCCAGAAAAGGGAAAAATTTGTTGTATTACAAATATTATCGATCAGACGCGTGTACTTGTCGATGGTCCATCATCACATGTATGTCGTCAAGCATTAAATATTAAATCATTACATTTGACAAAATATGTACTCAAACTTTTACCTGGAGCTCGTTCAAAAACAGTTAAAACACTGTGGGATAAACACGATATTAATAAAAAATGGCAAGAAACACGTTGGTTTAAAAAATTACAAGCAAAACATTTACGTTCAAAAATGACGGATTTTGATCGTTATAAATTATTACATGCTAAACAAGCATATAATCGTATAGTAAATCATGAATATAATCGTTTGAAAAAGAAGAATAAAGTACAATTAGCTGCAAAAACAAAAAAAGCTAAACCAAGAAAATTTGTTGCTAAATCACAACGTATTGCAAATAAATTTAATATTTTTGCTAAAACAACTGCAGCAGCTGGAAAAAAGAAATAAACAACTAGAATAAAAATTCAAGTCAAAAAAAACAACAAGCATTGTTCTTTTCTATTTCCATTATTTTGTCTTTTCGTTGCTTGTATGTTCTTGAAAAACAACAAAAAACATTCAGAAAATAAGAAGAAGAAAAATAAAGAAAAACAAAAAAATCAATACGTATGATTTTTGTTTTAATACCGTTTCGATTGATTCTAGATAGCATTGGGTTTATCTAATATTTCTTATCAAATAAGAGCATCTCTTGATCATGACAGAAGAATCATGGGATGGTGAGCAAACATCTAAAACATCTGAACAAGTTAGTTTTTATATGAAAGGGAGAATAAATTATTGGAATTTATTATGTATGTAGCAAACGACAGCAACAGGAACGGCACGTTTGGGTATTGGACGTGGAAAAGCAAAACCGGAAACGAATAATAATGGTAACAATTTAATATTTTTTTATTTGTTTTCGATGATAGATTTATTTTAGAACCACCACCACCATCATCAACTTCAAAATGGAATAGTAGCAGTGGTGGTGCAAATGAAAGTTCAAGTAGTTTCCGAAATAATAATAACAATGATGAAAACAGTAATCCGAATAGTGGTGGAGGTTTTGGTTCACGAAGTAGTGGTGGTTTTAGTGGTAATTACTATTAATTGGATTTATATATTTGTGAAGTAAAACTTTGTTTTTTTTTATTCAAGGCGGACGTGGTGGTGGTGGTGGTGGTGGAGGATTTGGATCGAGTAATGATGGCAATCCTCGTTGTAAGCCTATAGTTTAGATATCTGAATAATAATAAAGTATTAATTGAAATCTTTTTTTTATTTTGTCATCAAGCATGCTACAATTGTAATAAGACTGGTCATATGAGTCGAGACTGTCCTGAGCCACGAAAAGAAAATCGTGGTGGTGGGTCTCGTGGTGGTTTCGGTTTTGGCAGCAATCGTGGTGGATTTAACTCTGGTGGCGGTGGATTTAACTCAAGTGGTGGTAGTCGTGGTGGATTTAATTCAAGCGGTAACGGTTTTAATTCAAGTGGTGGCGATCGTAACGTTAATTTTGTATCGTCGGCAAACGATGAAGGTTCATCGATGTCTGTAACAGTCCGTAACTCGAGAAATCAACATGAAGATGGTAACAATGATACAAAGGCAAGTTTTTCTGCTTGGCGAGGTGCTGGAGGAAATAAAACAGCTAATGGTAATGATTCTGAAGAATCTAATAATAGAAGTACAACATTTGTTAATTCAACAATACGGGGTGGCTTTAATAATGGTGGTAGTGGATTTCGAGGTAAAAAAAAGCAATACTTTATTTAACATAGATATATAAATTTTGTCGTAAAGGTGGTCGAGGTGGTGGTGGAGGAGGATTCAGTTCAGGTGATCGTGGTAAGTGAAGTTTAGATAAATATGAAAATTTTGATTTTTTTTGTTATATAGATAATCGTGGTGGTGCCGGCGACGGTAGTCGCAGTAAGTGTTTATTTTATTTAGATAGTATGCTCAATTTTATCTACTTCGTTTTCTGTTTAGATTGTTATAATTGGTACGCTCTATTTATCAGTTGTGTGTTCACATTTGTTGGCTTGTTCTTCTTTTTTTTGTAGCAATAAACCTGGTCATCAAGCTCGTGATTGTCCTGAAGAAAGAAAACCTCGTGGTATAACTAATTTTTTTTAAATACTGTTTAATTCTTTATTCTTATGTAATATACTTTAGACGGTGGTGGTGATGGTTTCAGTGGTTCTGGTGGTCGGAGAAATAATAATCGAGTAAGTTAATATTTATTCTAAAAATCAAAAAAAAATCATGATTTCATTTAGGTATCAGATGATATTTTCGATCAACGTAAGTGTATACATACAAGATAGAACAATAATCGTAAGAATTTCTTTTATAGCTGGTGGTCGTGCTGGTGGTCAACCAAGCGAACGTTATGTTCCACCACCTCCACCAACAACTGAAGATGGTATATTTGGTGAAGCAGTTACTAAGGGCGAAAATTTTGGAAAATATCATCAAACACATGTTCAATGTTCACCTTTAGGTAACTAAATTGTTGTTTTTTTTCCAAAAAAAATTAAATAATTTTTTTTGTAAGACAAAATAAAACCAATTGAATTATATGAAGAAGCTAATCTTGGTACACAAGTTTTATCAAATATTCGTCGTGCTCATTTTGAAGAACCAACAGCTATTCAACGTTATACAATACCTTGTATACGACAGCAAGATGATATAATGGCTTGTGCTCAAACTGGATCTGGTAAAACAGTAAGTTTTGTTTTACTTTTAATATTAATTATCAATTAAATAATTATTTAGGCTGCTTTTCTCTTACCAATTATTTCTAATTTACTTGAATATCATGCGGATGATTTATCTGAAAAACTTCATCCACCATCACCACTTTGTCTTATTGTGTCACCTACACGTGAACTTGCTCTACAAACAGAACGTGAAGCAAGAAAATTTGCATATCAAACTGCTGTTATACCTTGTATGTTATGAGAAAGAAAAACTAAACATATTAAAAAAAAAAATTTGTTTTTCTATCAAAAGGTTCTGCTGTTGGTGGTCATGATATGTATGCTGTATCAGATCGTCTCCGAGAAGGTTGTCATATCCTATCAGCTACTACCGGTCGTCTCAAAGATATGGTTGAAAAAGGCCGAGTAAAATTTAACATAATTCTTAATATTCAAACATTAAAAAGAACATTTTTTTTTCAAGGTCTCATTGAGAAAAGTTAAATATTTCGTTCTTGATGAAGCCGATCGGTATGTACATAGAAAACTATTGAATTGAATTAAAGGAGAAACAGCAGAAACTTCATTCTTGAGGCCTGCTGTTTCTTTCTCAAATCTAATCTGTGTTTTGTTTTTCTTAAAGAATGTTAGACACAGGTTTTGAACCTGATATACGTAAATTAGAAGATCTTGGTTTACCACCAAAAGATGAACGTTTTACATCAATGTTTTCTGCAACATTTCCTAATGAAGTACAACAATTAGCTAAACATTTTCTACGTGAAAATTATGTATTTCTTGCTGTTGGTATACCTGGTGGTGCTAATGAAGATATAGCACAAACAATTGAAGAAGTACCACATTCAAGAAAAAAAGATCGTCTTTTTCAATTACTCGAAGAAAATCTTAGTAGGAAAAACGAAAAGAAAATTATTGTATAAAGTTTTTTTTTTTTTTCGTTTAGAATCTGAACGATGTTTAATATTCGTTGAAACAAAACGATCAGCTGATTATATAGGTGCATTACTTTCACAAAAACAATTCATGAGTACAACAATGCATGGCGATCGAACACAAAGACAACGAAGTGAAGCTGTACAACAATTTACAAATGGAAAATGTCCAATACTCGTTGCAACATCAGTTGCTGCTCGTGGTTTAGATTTTCCATTAATTGGTTATGTTGTTAATTATGATTTACCAGATTCAAGTGATTTTTATATTCATCGTATTGGTCGAACAGGTGAAATTAGTGCAAAACCTTTTAAACAGAAAAATTTTTTCATAAGTTTTGTTTTTTCTATAGGTCGTGCGGGTCATTTGGGTAAATCAATATCATTTTTTGATCCAGATCGAGATTCTGATAGAAAAATTGCTCCTGAACTTGTATTAAAATTAAGCGAAGTATGTTATTTGTAAATTGAAGATTTATTTTAAATGCCTTTATTTCATTAGGCTGGTCAAGCAGTACCTGAATTTCTTAGAAAATATGTTGATGATGCCAATGGTGGATTTTCTAATGATGGTCAAGGTTCACGAAATACTGATGTAATATTGATTTTATTGTATTTACTAAGTTTTTCATTCTCTTTTTTTTCTGTTTTAGGTGAGATCTGGACATAATAATTTTGGTAGTCGAAATCAAGCAAGTGGTCCTACTGGTGGTACAGCTTCTGCTGGTGGAACCAATGAAAATTGGGATTAAGAAAAACACATGCCTTTTTTCTTTCTATATAAATAAAAACTAAAATTTTTCTATTGTGATATGTACATTCCGAACATGTTAGCACATCAAAACGATCAATTTTTTTTCTAATTCAACTATGGTTCGGAAAGAACAGTTCATTGGATTGTTTGTACATTTATAGTTTCTTGAGTTTTTCTTTCTTTCTTTCTTTCTTCTTTTTTCCTTTGTAAACTTACAAAAAAAAAGTGTCTCACATTATCATCACTTGTTCTTTATACATCGTTAAGAAGAGAAAAAAAAGAAGTTTCAGCGATTTTTTTCTTTTTGTTTTGTTATTTGTTTTTTTTTTCTTTTCGGTGTTTTTCAAACATATTTTCTTTACTGGCAAATATTCGAATGATGATGATAAATTTAAAGATTAAAAATAAAGACATGTATGAGCGTGTATTTCAAATCAGATACTTCTAGTAGTTTCTTTTGTTTTCTTCTTTTGTTAATCATGAAAGTGAATGTGTGTGTGATGCCATATGAAAAGCATAAAACTAAGGTGTTTTTCAAGGCATTTCCCTTCACTTTTTTTTGCAAAATAAAATATGCTGAAATATTGAAAGTACAAGCATACAATAATTGTTTTTTCTTATGATGTTAATAAATTGTTCGAAGTGTACAGAATGTTTACAGCATACAATTGTACAAAGATCTGATCGATTTACAATAGGTTGGATTATTTGAGGTGTATATAATCTTCTACCCGTGACAGGACGTAAAAGGACATTATACTGATTAGAAGTAAATTTATGACAATAGAAAGCAAATAAAGAGAAGCTCAAACATGGAGCAACATAAAACAATGAGTATAGGTAGTATGAATCATAAGCTATAACTTACAGAATCGAACCACCTTGGTATGATGTACTTTAGGTTCAATGATTTTCAACAAGTGGTAAGAAACAGGGATGAACAACTCCATTCTTATTTTCTAAAATCTCACTTTATCTTTGATGAGACAGAAAAATGAAAAAAAAAGTCATAGAAGTGTTCATCAAACCCTTTCATCTTTTAACTTGCTGTTTTGTGGTTCAAGAGCATTCTCGATTAATGAAGTTGTAATAAAAGAAGTATTTTAATAAAACTGACACTTCTATCTTACAAACTTCGACAATATTTTATCTAGATAAACTTTTGGCTTACATGTCAGAGCTTGAGCTAATCATTCATTTCTATGAAGCTCATTGTTTAAGACTCTATTCCAAAAGAAGTCCTACTTTGATAAACTTCATCTTTAGATTCTTTTCCTTCTTTTATATCTCCTATGACCTCAGTTTCCACTTTGATGAAAAATATCAATGAGTTTGATTTCAACCTATAAGAAAAATAAATTAAAGTCTTCTATATACGATGTATTGATTCGATCATTATTAAAATTTCATTGAAAAGTTTACTGTTTCATTGAAACTAATAATGAAAGAATGTGCACTATTGGTTAAATGGATTGTTCATATTCGGATCAAATGAGTACTCTTCTCACTTTCAAACTAACGAATTTAATATACGAGTAGCCTATGTCATGTGTTCGCACTTCGAAATATCATCAGTATTTTTTATCAATGTTAGATACAGCTCAGCAAGTTGAATAAGAATAAAAACAATATCGCACATATGTATAAGCAATTGTGTATAATAATGAGAGTTTCAAGTCAATGATGATTAATTTAACAATAATGATATTTTGAACTTTTCCATAGAATTATTTTTCAATATATGTGATACTGCTTTCTCTTATTTCATTCCACGATCTCTATCCAACCATGGCGAAAAAATGCTGCTGCAATTTTTAGTTTAGTATTGAAAACATTCATTTGACTTGAATAGGATCAATCTACTTAATTTACAGTAGGCAATTTTTCAATGTAAAATTATATTGAAATATGAAACCTATATTCGAAGATGAAAGTATTACTTATCATACCATGACAAAAGATACGTATGCAGTTGATATGAAGAAGAATATTTAAAACAGACGGCAAATTTGTCAACGACTGGTAAATAAGCAAAAGTAAATATTACAAAATTATGCAGAGAAACTTTTCAATTAATCAATTTGATATGTATACACTCATGACCCTCAGCAATTTTTTGTATCTTTATACGAAGTGAATTCATCATATGTATCAAATTTTACGAAAGAATATCATATGTGAACTTTCTAAAACTCTTACATGTTAGCTAGAATATATTACTATGTGACTATAAATTAATATATTTGTTATTGAAACAAAAAAGTTTGACGATACTGTTAAAGAGTTTGACTCTTCAATAAGTAAAAGTGTTGATTGTTTTACATCAACGAATACATTAATTACCAATTAGTGTTTATCGCTGAATACAAACGCGTGAAATAATCACATTTTTCATCGGATGTCAATTTGATTGGTACACGAAAGAGAGAAAAGATGTATGAGTATATATATTCATAAAAAAAAGAATTGAAGGATATTTCACTATCGATCGACTTGAATAATAATCAAAACATGGCGTCATCATTTGATGCAAATTGTTCATCTTATTGGTCGTATTCACCATATCCGTATAATAATAGTTATGATACGTCTTCAGCAAATTCATCATATTATGAATCATCCATAGCATCATCATCTCCACCTATGATTATGTACCCAGTATATGATCAACAACAGTCTTGTTATTATTATCCTGATGCTACTTTTCCTTGTCAACAATTAACACCACCATCGCCACCAATCGTGTCATCATCTCAGGTAAACTTTCTTTGAAACTTTTGAACTACCTATTCTTAACTTGATTTATATTAGATTGCGTATGTTCCATCATTGTCACCTTCACTTCCTCGTCCAACAACGAATCTTCCTAATCGATTACAATATACAGTTCGTCAACGTTGGTTACTTAATGAAATATTTGAACATGTTCCTTATCCTAACAGTGTTCAAAAGAATGTTATCGCCGATCGAATAGGAGCTACACGTGAACAAATTCGTAAGTTTTTCTTCTCATGTAAGCATAGAAAAAATAGTTTTATGAAATTTTTCAGGTATTTGGTTTCAAAATCGTCGACGAATAGCAGTACAAAGTCATCGTTCATCTTCTCGTCGTAATAATCCATTACCAATTGACAATGGTCATTTAGTTCAATTGGAACTTGAAGAAATTTTAGCTGATCTTGAACTACACAAAAATGCTCCACAACGAATGCCTATTGGACAAGGCATATCATGTAGACGTGTTCGTGTAGTTAAAAATTAAATATTGTTTTTTTTCTTTTTTCTCTCTTTTTGTATATTTCAATAAAAAAAAAGTAATAGCAATTATGTCAATAATAATTTTTTATCTTTATTAAAGTTAAATCAACATTTCCAGTTTTTCATATTTTTTCTAACTATATCAATATATCATTGAGTATTGGACGTGCTTGTCACACTAAATATTTTGTTCTCTTCCGGTTGATTTATCAATAAAACGATCAACAAAGCTCTTTAGGTGCACACATTCACGACGACACGTAAAGACAAGGTCTAAAATAGTTCGTATAAGGGACGAGAAAAAGAAAGCAGGCAAGAACGTAAAGAATTTGTAAGACCTTCATTGATTCTTTTTGAATGTTCACAGACAGTTAAGCAGTGATGTTGATTAATATCTTTATTTCCTTCTTTTGTTTTACGCATGTTACCTCTACTTGTCTGTCAAAGCAAATGAGTCGAGAAAACGATAAATAGAGAGAAAAGAAAAAAAAGAGTATTAAACGAAGATTTTGAAGGATGATAAGAGCCAGATTAAATGGAAACGACACAGAGCAAATATGAAATATTTATAAAAAAGAACAGAACACTTAGACAAATGGATTCTTCATCAACAATCGAACATGAAAAAGTAATGAAAACTTTCTTATGTTTTTGTGTTTTTTCTCATATATCCTTCCAATACTTCTTAATAGCTGCCTAATCCAAATTCTCTATGGATATTACTGGATAAATTAGGTGAAGGTACATATGGACAAGTTTTTCGGGCTAAATATCATAATGTTGATGAATATGTAGCGGCAAAAATAATTCGTTTAAAATCTGACGATATCTCGAATGAATTCGAAAATGAATTAAATATTTTACAGAAAATTTCTAAACAACAAGAAAATTTACCTGATTTTATTGGTTTATATGGTGATAGTAATGAATTCCGTGTTCCACGTATATGGTTTATTATGGAACTATGTCATTTAGGGCCAATTACTCACCTATTAAAACAAATTCAAAAGGGAAATCAATTAAGTAGATATGAAAAAGAAAAATTAATCGCTTATGCATTACAAAGTACATTAAAAGCATTAAAATATCTTCATCAATCTGGTATTATGCATCGTGGTAAGTCATATAGATTTTTAAAAAAAAGTCCTAATTTCTTATTTTCATATTAAAGATGTCAAAGGTAGTCATATATTAGTAACAAAAAATTATATTATAAAATTGATTGATTTTGGTGTGGCTGCTTTATTCAGTAAAGAACAATCAAAACGTAATTCTAGTGTTGGTACTTCTCTTTGGATGGCACCTGTAAGATAAAAAAAAACACACTATTGTAATGTTTCTTTTCTTTTTAATTATTAACCTATAGGAAGTCATTGCATGTGCTCATCAATTGGAATATTCATTTGATGAAAGATGTGATATATGGTCTCTTGGTATAACAGCTATTGAATTAGCTGATGGTGAAGCACCATTAAGTCATTATCATCCAACAAAAGTTCTGTTTGAAGTTCCACGTCGACCATCACCGACATTAAAAGATACAACACAATGGTCAACGAGTTTTAATAAATTCATTTCAACTTGTTTAATTAAAGATTATGAATATCGACCACGCGCAGAACAATTATTAACAGAGCAAATATTTGTTAATTTTGATGATCAAACAACAGATTTATATCGAGGTTTATTAAAAACTTATCATATGAAATGTTCATCAGTAGATATTTCAGAAAAATCAGTTGAAAGTGATCAATCAACAATAGTTAATGATGATACTGGAGTTTTAAATATTAATCCTTGGATTGAAAATATACGTAAACCAGCAGATTTAATTGATTCTGAAAATAATTTAGCACAAATTGATTATCTTGATCAACAACGTCTTATTAATTCAATTCGAAGACGGTTTAGTAACACATTAATTTATACATATATAGGTGATGTTTTATTAGCCATTAATCCTAAACAATTTTTGCCCATTGATAATCTTCATTTTCAATTAAAATATTTAAAAAATACAACAAATTTATTGCCGCATGTGTTTGCAATAGCTACAAATGTTTATAATCAAATGATGATTAGTCGACAAGCACAATGTATTATTCTTTCCGGAGAATCTGGTTCAGGTTAGATGTATATATTTTATAGAATTTATCTAAGAAAAAAAATTTCCTTGAAATAAATAGTATTACTTCATGTTATCGATTGTAATAGAATCTGTTTCAATTTCAGAATCTAAAAATTTTCTTTTAATGTTAAGTAAACTCTATGACTTCTTCGAAAATTATTCTTTTTCTTTGGAATTCATTTTCTAGAAGATGTTTTTCTTTTTTTAAAGTATTTTTTTTTTCTGTCTAGGTAAAACACATGCAGCACAAAATCTAATTAGTGAATTAGCTCTACTTGGTTTTGGCGAACAACGTGCATTAGAAAATCGTCTTGTTACAATGAATTTATTACTTGAATCATTTGGCAATGCTGAAACATCATTAAATAAAAATTCTTCACGTTTTGGTAAACTTCTTGATATATTTTTTACTGAATATGGTACTATTGTTTATGTACAATTATCTCAATTTCTTCTTGAAAAAACTCGTGTTGTACTTGCAAGTGGTAATAAAAGAAATTTTCATATATTATACTCAATATATTCACATTTTTCTCAAAATCAAACAAATCCTTGTGTTTTGATTGATCAAGAATCATTTGAATTATTTCAAACAATTACACATTATACATATCTTGGAAATAGTTATAATCAAACAATATCATCATTACCATTAGTTGATTTATTTCAAATATTAAAAGAATTAAATATTACAGATGATGAACAATCATCAATATTAGCAATTCTTACGGCAATTATTCATTTAGGAAATGTTTCATTTAAAGCTGAAACAGAAATCAATGAACCTGGCTGTTCAATTGATGAACAGTCGAAGCCACATGTAAATGCTGTTTATCGTTTATTAAAAATTGATAATAATCAATTTATCCAATCATTATGTCAATCAAGTTTAATGACACGTGGTGAAACAGTTACGAAATTAAATACTATTGCTGAAGCACAACAAACACGTGATGCTATGGCAAAATCTCTTTATTCACGTTTATTTGATTGGATTGTATTTGCATTAAATCGTTATTTTCGTACGGAACTTGAATATCAACCAAAATCAATTGTTGATATTCGTAAACAACATGAAAGAGATATATTAAATAATGAATTTTCTGTTCGAGCTAAATTAAATGAAGAATTACATACAAAAAAACAAAATGATGATTTATATTCAATATCAATACTTGATTTATTTGGTTTTGAAACATTTGGTCATAATTCTTATGAACAATTATGTATTAATATTGCTAATGAACAATTACAGTATTTTTTTCGACAACATACATTTGCATGGGAAATGAAAGAATATGAAAATGAAGAAATACAAAACACAAGTTAGCAAAAATAATAAAATTTCCTAATGAAATAAATAAGATTTCACGAAAAATAGAAATGTATTTTAACTTTTTCACAGTTTAGTCTTCTCGATCAGACTGCTGCTTGGCATTTTAATCAGTAAAGCATATGATATAAATGTCAACTATTGGTAAAGTTGAATGAGTTTGATAAAAATCAATAATAACAAACTAGATACAAATGCATCTTTTTAGCGAAGCCTTGTGACATTATTTTGAATATGATGCAATGATTTTTATATTGTGTTTTCTGATAGATGCAAAATTTTTGACTAGACCACCAACTAACTGACGAGAGAAGGTTTCCAAGTGATAAAAACTCTTTTAAACTAAAACTACAAGCAAATGATAGCATCTAGTGATTAAGTAAATATTCTTGAGTGATTTGAGCTGTAAAGCATTTGTTGCTGACATATGAAATGTTTAATAAGTTTTTACTGTAGGATCTTAGTTCTCATGAGAAATTATACGTTTGAATTTTGATCTACAACTTAGTCTACATAAATGCATCGATTAGACTAACTTGTAGAAAAGATTTCATAATTTTTGACAAAGTTTTTCCCAAATATGAACTTTTCAAAATATAGGCACTTTGTCATAATTATCGTAAAAAGCAACATGGAGATTTTGAAATAATTATATCTCGACAAGACTTTGTCAGAGAACTGTGCAGTTTTTTTTCTGCAATCTAACCTAATTGATAACTTTGCGTAGGTAAATTTTTAGACCAAAATTCAAAAGTATGATTTAATTTGAAAACTGGTGTTCAACAGGAAAAATGTACTCAACATTCGAAATTTCAAAAAGAAAAAACTCCGCAGCTTGAACTACTCTAGGATATCTACCTACCTATTAAACTCTATCGATTGAATGAGCTTCCAAGCTTAAAAGGAATTTATCACCTAGAGAATTTTTCTTGTAAGCCAACTGTTATTTGATTTCAATATCAAATAAACACCTGACAACCTTTATTTGAATAAGTTTTTTTCTAAAATATTTATTACACTTTTCTTTTTTATTCTACTTTCAAACGACAAATTTAGATCCGTTCATTCTTCATACACATACAATATTGATCTCACACTTCCATGACTAACAAACTAATTTCAGGATGTGGCGACAGCCGATGTGCACACTTCTTTTGAAGAAAATTTCTCATTTTCCAGCAAAAGTCATGCTTTCATTGAAAAGAAAAAATATATTTCATACCACTTCACTTATAAAAAGTTTATTTAGGTACTTTGTCAACTTGTAGAAATTTTATCTTACACTCCCTCCTCCGCCTTTTTTTACCTTTTCCATGTGCCTCGACTAACTCTCAAAGGATAACGAAATAAATCTGTGGAATAGTTCGGATTATATCTGTCGTATCTCATATTATAATCTTAGAGATATTATTTTGAAAAGAAATTTTTATGTTTCATAAAGAAAAAATATCTTCTATATTTTCAGCATATCCTGATAATTTTGATTTTCCAAATAATCGATCAATTCTCGATATGTTTTTATCAAAACCAATTGGTTTATTAGCCTTACTTGATGAAGAATCTCGTTTTCCTCAATCAACAGAATTTACTCTCGTTAATAAATGGCGTGAAAATTTAAATTCTTCAAATTTTAAAACAAATACACCAACATCTTCATTATCACGTAAAACAATGAAACAACAAAAACGAATGTCATTAGATCTTCAACCATTATTTACAATATCACATTATGCTGGTAATATACAATATACAGCAAAAGATTTTCTTGAAAAAAATCGTGATTATGTTCCAATGGAAATAATAAATTTGCTTTTACAAAGTGATGATGATCTTGTTAATTTACTTTTTCGTAGTCGTCTTCGTAAAACTGGCAGTGTTATTTATAATGAACAAGAAAAACAAGAGAAAATTTCAACTCTGTCTCGTTCAACACCTCCAAAAACAACAACAATGAATCGTACACAAGGTACAGTATCAACATATTTTCGTTATTCATTAATGGAATTGGTTAGTACAATGGCATCAACTCAACCAACATTTATACGATGTCTTGTACCAAATCGTTTATCATTTCAAACATCACATATAACATATGATCATACAAGTTATTTTCCACAAAATTTTCGTTTTGATTCAAGTCAATTTGATGAAACAGTTATACTTGAACAAATACGATATAGTGGTTTAATTGAAACAATTCAAATACGTCGACATGGTTATTCACATCGAATACTTTTCGAAGATTTTATATCGATTTATTCATGTCTTATTGATTTAAACTTAAAAACAATAGATCATAGTGACCATAAACAAATATGTGAATTAATATTTAAAAAATTTCATATTAATAATTATGCTATTGGTAAAACAAAAGTTTTTTTAAAATTTCATCATATTGAACAATTAAATATTGCACATAAAAATTTTTTAACAAAAATTATTCGTTTACAATCACATATAAGAATGTGCTTAGTTAAAAAACAAAATCAAAAACTTCAAATAAATAACGGTGGAACAAAGTATGAAAAATCCGTTGTACATCTTCAATCTATGGTACGTAGTTTTCTTGCTCGACGCACAGAAAAAAAAGTATCATTAGCCGTTATTACTATTCAATCTTATTGGAGAATGTGGCAAGAACGAACTCATTATAAGCATCGTCTTCTTAATTATCGAAATGAACAAATTCAAATATCGTATTTTCTTAAACAAATTGAATTATATGGTAATAATTTATATCAACGATTAACGAATTTAAAAAATTCAAATGAATTTACAAATCAATCTTCTATGAGTAACGATAAAAATTTCCCTAAAGAGCAATCTGTATCAAACGCAATAATACATTCGCAATCACAAGATATAGTTCCAATGAGTAGTAAACAAAAATTTGTCATTTTATGTGGATATTATGATAAGGTTTATAAAGAATATTTAACTAAAAAAAGTATAAAAGTTACTGATGAAACGAAAAAAAATACAGCTAGTAATACAAGTACACGACGACCATCAACAGCTCCACCTGTAACTAATATTCCACAAGCTCCACCTTGTCCACCACCAGAATTTTTTCAACAAACTAGTACACAAATTAATATTTTCAAACGACAAATATCAGCACCAGCTACAGTAACAACTCCAATTGAAGAATTAAAACAAATATTCGCAACACGACAGTAAGATTTTTACATTTGTTTTTATTTAAAAAAAAATATATCTCGAAAATTTTCATAGATCAAAAGAAAGAAACTCAGTATTATCTCCTCTACGATCTAGTTCTATGTCACCATTATCAACTATTTCCACTACAAAAGATATTTTATCGTCATCAACATTACTTGCTGTCAATCATTCAAAACATATAGTAAGGCAAGATGATTATCAACCAAGACGTCGTCTTTCTTCAACATCAAGTATAATCAAAAGTAAATCAACTGGTTTCGTAACTTGTAGTACATCAAGTCTTGTAGGGGATATGGCATTAACACCAGAAAATGTGCTTAAACTCAAAGAAAATTTACGTAAAACTGGTTTAGTACAAAGCAATCAAACACTAAGACGAAAATTACCAACAGAAACAATACAAATTGATTTTCGTAGTGTACTTCATTCGTCAAAGAATAATTTAAGTTAAACAATTAATTAATAATAACAAATAGAATAAAAACTCTAAGTGAATTGATTGTAAGAAGATGTTATCCACCTACGTATACCTTGTTGGAATCATTTGTACTTTGTTTTTGTGACATTTTGTAAATATTACTTACTATGCGTATGTGTCCCCTCAAGAGAGAAATCAATCATATCGATGGTTGTCTCTTGTATGATACCACCTAACAACACGTTTTTGCTATTTCTTATCAATTTCCCCGAGTCAATATTGTCAATAAAAATAAAAGAAAACGAATTTCTTTTATTTAATAGAAAATCAAAATTATCTTGCCAATTAATTTATATCAAGATAAAATAAAAATATTTTGAAAATAATCATGATTATATTGTTCTCATGAACATCTGTCGTGTATTGATGATTATCATAGATAGTTATTGATTCGTTGTTTTTTTTTTAACAAAGTATTTGTCACTAGATAGATAAAAATATAAATGAATGATATATAGTTGAAAATAGGCTATAAATCATGATTCTTATTGTTTTATTTTGAAAAACAAAAAAAAGTATTCTTTGATGAGATTATGATTATGATTATGCTAATATATTCTCGAGAAAAATATGAAAAGAGAAACGGATCAGTATTAATTATTGTTCTGTTTTTACCCATATTATTAAGTTATGACTGATGAGACTTAACTATAATTACTCTTAAAAGCAGTACATTATATTTCTTGATATATAATCATCTCACACAAAGATAATCAATTTTTTTATCCGTCAAATGAGTACTATTGAATAAAGTCGATGATAATTATATTTTGTTTTTGATATGTTACGTTTGGTTAGTATTATATATTAAAATATGTCATGTTTTTTCAAAATGTCATCCACATATTTAACGGATGAGAAAAAAAGGAACTTCTTTGTTTTTATTAAACAATGCATATAATCTATTATTGAATCGTACATTAAAGTCAATAATATTGTGTCTTTGTTAATGATTATATCATTTCTTTTCAACGGCAATCATGTTTGCCTATCATCATCATCATCAGCATGTATATAGTCAGTCGTCTAGTTGATCGCTTCCATCTTTCATGATTCAAGAAATTAGCTAATATGTTCGATGGCATCCGCACAGTAGTATCTCTCTTGTCTATTTATATGTTCTGTTCTATTTCTTAGAAACGACAGAGATAGCATACCAAACTTAGTCGACGTTTTTTTTTCTTCTTTTCTTTTCTTATCTATTTGTCCTACGCTTTCTGTTATATCGACGTATGACATCATCCTTACACTCCTTTTCTCATGTTGTGTTCCTTGCGGGAAAACATTGCTAGCTATAGACAAGCGTTCGTATGTAACCAAATGCATTGGGTGCCACTATCATCTCTTTCTTTTTTTTTCTTCTATTTCTCTTTTTCCTTTCTTCTTATTCTTATTCTCGACATTCGCGTCGTCTTTATGAAGAAAACTAACGTTCAAAAAAAAGAACAACATTTTTAGTTTTGTCGACAATCAACCACAAACTAATCATAGTAGCAGACAAGTAAAATAATACAATATGGTTATCTTTATGCCATATTATCGTCAGCAGGGACAACTATTTCATTCACATACTCGTAGTCGTCCATTATCATCATCAAATGGACAACACCATACAACAACACATGCTGCTATTCACATGAGTGCTTGCAAATTTGCATCAAGCATATTATGTCGTTTTACATTTTCACTGTTTTTATTTGCTATTGCACTTTTTTTATTTCAATTATCGATAAATAATGTGTCAAACAAAAAAAAAGGCTCAAATATCATTGCTGCTATTCTATTAACTATTGCTATTGTTTCATTTTTACGTACATGTCAAACATTACGACGTTATTTAACAATCATGCAAACAAGGCGTCGACTTGTCCAAGTAAATAAAGAAAAACAAAATATATTTTTTGCTTCTTTTTTTCGTAAATCGTTTTGATTAGCATTATTCTTAATTTAGAGATTACGTGAACGACAAGAAGCTTATGATCTAGCCTTAGCAACAAGTACTGATATTAATTCTGAGTATATATATATATATATTAACCACCAATAACTAACATATTCATTTTTTTTATCATTTTATAGACTTATCATGGGTGATAACACTGATTTACCATCATATAAAGAACTTTTTCCTTCTCATCCGGATATCAGTATTATTGGCAATGATTCATCATCATTACCGCCTCCATCTTATGATGATTTTGTTAAAACACTTGGTGTTCGTCAATCGACCACATCTCTTCCAATATCGTCTTTGCAGTCTCATACATTATCATTGCCAACAAGAAATTTATCGACATCATCAACTCAATCACAAACAAGTCCAACACGATGTATTTGGATAACTCATCGAACACAACGACCTGCTTTTATTCGTGGTACTGTTACATATGTTTAAAAATAAAAACTGAAAATTTAATAAAATTAAATATATATATTTATATGCATATGTAGATTTATTTCTGAAAATTTAAACGTTGCGTGAAGCCAAAAAAAAGGAAAGAAAAAAAGAAAAAAGAAAAAACTTATAATTTATATTTTATCAAATGAAGATATTATTTTTTCAGACCATACTTTGTGCATGTCGATCACGATACTCACGATCATCAATACCAGAATCAACATCTGATCGATTTTCTGCACTAATTTGTTCACCATTTGTCATTTTTAAATTACTCACTGCCGACTTCGAATCTGGTCTAACATCTCCTTTAAGATCACTTATATCCCAAACTTTTAATGTACCATCAACAGAACCACTAAATAATCTGTCATCAACAATCTAAACAATAAATTATTGAAAAAAAATATGTATAATCAATAGGGACCTTCGAGTTGCTTCCGACAGAGTTCGGATTTAAAAGTTTCCTGTTAACCGGATCTAAAATTTTTTCCGTTAAATGAGTTCGAGTCCGGATCTGAAAAATCTCCGTTAATGGGGTCTGTGTTCGAAACTTTTGAACTCGATGGACTCTAATAATCAATTATAAAGATGAAGATTTACCTGTAAGCAATTAACAGCAAGTGTATGTGATTTAAACATACGTTTTAAAACACCAGAACGTGCATCAAAACATCTTACTATTGCATCACCACAACCAGTAAAAACTATTTGCAAAAAAAAAAAGAAGAAACGTAAATAAGTTTTACATGAAAGACTAAAAACTAATATAACATACGGAAACCATTATCAACTTGAAGACAAGAAACAGTATGTCTATGTCCTTTATAAATTCTTGTACATTCACCAACATCAATAACCCAACAACGTCCTGTATGATCAGCACTTATAGAAAAAAGTAATTTATTTATACACTAAAATAAGACGAAAATTTTGTATTTTGTTTTTGTTTTCAATGTCATTTTATTTTTCTTACAAGAAGATTTATAATTGCTGCTTGATGTTGATCATAAATATGTAATTCTGTTCCACGATAAATATCCCACGCACGAATTGTATTATCAGCTGATCCTGTAAATAAAAGTTTACCAAGTCGATCAGTTGCCAAACAAAGTATTGCGCCTGTATGACCGCGAAATGTTTTTAAACATTCACCAGTTTCAAATGACCATGTTTTAGCTGTTGTATCTTGTGAACCAGTTATAATTAAATCTTTTGCGTAGATATCCATATCTTCTTCAATATCATCATCTCCACCACCACCATCACCACCATGTTCAGCTGGAATAAATAATATTGGTAATATTCCATGTTTATGACCACGAAATACACGTACACAAGCACCAGTATCAAAATCCCAACATCGAGCTGTACGATCATATGATGTTGAAAAGAGAAAATCTCCTAAAATAATAGTATTGAATAGATTCTTCCTGTTTTCTTTTTTTCTTTATTTAAAACTTAAGAAAATTAAAATTTAATTTTTTTCCAAGGAGATGAAATAATGTAAAACAACAAAAAAGAAACTTCCATATGTTGAATGAACTTTGTTGTTTGTTAAAATGAAGAAAAAAAAATTTCTTATTATTTTCTTTTTGCATAGCATAAAAATCTAATTAGACCTAGAAAATGAAAGTGTAAATAGATACTGAAAAAGAACTAATTTTTTATGCTTCAACTTTTTTTGACAGTTGTTTAAGTAAAACGTTGTTCTTGAATTTAATTTTTTATTTTGTTTTATATTTTTTGTTTTTTCTGCTTATCTTCATTTTATTATTGTTTTAATTCAATCTTGATAAATATGATTGAACTTACCAGTACAAACTACTCGATTTACAAGTGACGTATGACCTGAATAGACAAATACACATTGCCCATTTGTTATATCCCATTTTCTAATTGTACGATCAGCACTAGTACTAACTAAAAAATTTTCATCAATAATAATACATGTAATATAATCAACATGACCCATTAAGACATTAAGACATTCAACTGGTGTTGTTTTAGCACTCCATAAACGGATATTATGATCATCAGAACCTGTAGCAAGAACACTACCATCATTACTTAATGTCATACAATTGATAGCACTTTCATGTTCATCTAGTGTTTGTAAAAGCCAATCACGAACACGTCGAGTTCTACCTTTTGATGCTGCACTACCCATAATAAAAGAAAAATGATTCGACCAGCAAGTAATACTATATAAAATAATAAGAAAAGATGTTAACAAAAATATAAAAGAAGAGCAAATGTTCAGCTTCTTTGTTTTTTTAGTGAAAATATTTAATTTTCTCTCCCAACTATTGTTGCCTATCACACTCGACAAAAACAAGAAAAAAAAGAATTTTCTAAAAGTGAAACTTGAAAAAAAATGGAAAAAGCAATCAAGAGAGTGGGTAGTTTTATAAGAAAAAAAAACGCTCTTTTTTTAAATTAGCCTGTTTGATGTCTTAGCAAACGTCATCACTTACTATGTATTTTCTTCTTCATGACAATTTCTGGAACGCTTCTGATAATATTCAAGCAGTCATGAATTAAGCAAAAAGCTTCTTTTTGGTCTTGGACATAAAAATCTGATCTTCTCTTCAATAACATATAATTTGACTTCAGTTTTCTGTCTGCGATATATAAGACACGTCACAAATAAATATTAACCAAGCACGTAAAGATATATCAGATGCATAGAATTCTCTCTAATTTTTATATATCAACACGAAAAAAACATATTTGGTTCTTTGACAATATCAACATAGATGAAATATCATGTTACAAGTTACAGTTGAACTTTGTTTTGAAGAAAAAAACACAGTGACTATATTATTCTCATCTTACTAATGAGTTTTTTCTTGTCTCGTTATCGTATGCTGAAAGTCATAAAGTTTCCAATGTTGAACTATCGAATACGAAATGTTTGCATTCATTCATCATGATAACTTCATTGGAATAGATGCTTTCTAGGCATAGAATAGATTGACTTCTAACTAGACTTTAGTGACTCTCTACATATACTTTTAGAATTGTACAAAAACACAGGTTTAACATTTATATGTTCCTTTAATCTTATATCATTTCAAATTTTAATCTTTCTTTGTTTTTTTGTTTTAAATAATCTACACGTGCGAAGAATCAATGATAGATTTTATATAATAACATATTCATTTATTATCATCATTTTTAGTTGTTGTAAAATATTTGAACATGAGTGACAGTTTAATAAAATGATGCCATTTCATTTTTTTTCATATAGCTTTTTTAGCACAGCAAGTCGGCGCCGTTACCTTTTTCTTCACTCCTGTTTTTATCGTTCTCATTGTGCACCGACGTTCTCTGGTACTACACATTCATTTTTTTTTCTTGAACATCCCACCCTTGGTAATGACGGAAGAAAAAAAATTTGTAATAACTTTGACAGTCTGTTTGAAAAGCTGTGTAATGATTTATGTAAGAGACGGAGAGAAAAAAAGAAAAATGTCAAGATATACGTATACATGATCAAATATACGAGCATGTAATTTTATTTTATGTTTTGTTATCATGAATATTCTATCAACATTTGGACAATAGATCTTTATGAATCTTGACATCAACCGGTAGGTAGAGAAAGAAATGCAAGAAATCAAAAGTATTATTTTCATATTTTGAGTTTTGATCATCGATCCAGTTCTAATCCTAGAGTATATATATATATGATTTTCATACAGGAAAAACCGAGGTATTTTGTTTCACATATTGACTTTTCTTCTTAAGATAAATTTTGAAATTCTGCTTTTTTCAGGACAGATACCAAAACATTCATTCATGCAAATAGTAATAGAAATATTACTCATGTTTTCATTCTGAATGAATGTCAACGGTGTATATAGTGTATTTATGAAGAGAAAAATGTCAAATCTATGAGGTAGAAATGAATTATATGATTTACAAGCATTTATTGTTTGATTTTATTAGGTTTTTTTTCGTTTTCTTTCGATATTGTATTATTTTTCCGTTAAGAAAGCAGCATAGGTGTAGACAAAAATATGTCAATTTACTATACTCAAATGAGAATATAATATGTGTAGTATTTATCTACTCTTATGATTCAATTTTTATCGGCAATTTTTCACCGTCAACTATGAAATAGGATCAATAGCTCTTTACTTTTCAATTGATATTTTAAAATAAAAGAGTACTTCACACTTTATAACAATTAATCTAAATCGAGTTTAAAGAACTTTTTTATTACAATAGTGTAAGTGAGAAGTTTTAGTAGTCGTATTAGTTAGAAACAACAAAGATTATTTTGAAAATCATAAGCTGCCTATCAGAAAAGAAAAATCGACAAATATTTTCTAAACTTTACTGTCCATTATCAGTATGATGCATTCAGCAACTATATATGCAAAGACATTTATACTGCAATATTCTAGTAGTTTGAAGAAAAAAAAAGAGTATGATTCAGTTTTTTTCAATGACACAGGTGAGAGCTATTAAATATTAAGTCCGTACAAAACACTTAAGAAAAAAAGTGCACTTTGATAAATAAAAAATGGTTAATTTTCTTAATTCTTCATTTTTTTCTTTTAGATTTATGTCATGCACATATATTCCTATTTGATAATTTTTTTGAAGCGTTAATAGTTTCCTATGTAGTTTTTATTTCTCCTTCATATAAACAATAACCATTTGATGTTTTTTTCCTCGTCAAATATATACATTATGTGGGCGTATTTTTTTGCTACCTATTCGTTCTTCCTGTTATGGTACAAGTTGTTTGTTGGTAATAGTTGTGTAACCAGAAAAAAAATTCTATAAGGTTTAAGCATTTTGTAAGTCCTCTTTACAGGTGATACATGATAACGCTCATATCGTTTTCAAATTTTCCATGAGAAATCGAACAATCCTAAAGAAAATTGAACTTTCTCCGGTTACGACACCAGTTACTCAGTGTACTTTCAAAACTCGTTTAACGGCGTTGACGAGAAAAAAAAGAGAGAGAGAAAGTTCCTAGTAGGATAAATCTTTTTTTTCTCTTCTTCCAAGACGTGAGAGAAAAAAAGAGATCTGTTTTGTTTATGAGCAATACGAAAGTCAATATATACTAGTCAATCCATCGCGAGTAATATGTTGTTATGCTTTATTTTTGGTCAGACATTTTAGTTTATCTTATTATATGATATGTTTGCTGAAAAACAAGATTTATTTAAGACTTGTCTTCTTTTTTTTTTGTTTCTATTTTTCTAGATTACATACATAAGTACTAAAAAGTATTATTATTAGAAAAAAAGATGGGTCACGGTGGAATGGGTTGTGGAATGAAGACAATGCGTTTTGTGATTGTAGTGTTCAATTTGGTCTTTTTTGTAAGTTTATTTAAAGACTTTGTTTATTTAAAACAACATTTTTTGAATTTGATTATCAGTTAATTGGCCTTGCATTATTAGCACTTGGAATTTATGTTATGGTTGATCCATCACTTAAAAAAATAAAAGAAATTGTACCAATTAATTCTAGTAAATTTTGAACCAAAGAATAAAATATATGAGTTTATGTTATTGTTGTTTAGATCCTGGCGTTGACAAAGGTTTATCATATCTTGAAGTTATGGCCATTGTTATTATTATTCTTGGTTCTATTCTTTTAATTGTTGGATTTCTTGGATGTTGTGGTGCCATGAAACAAGTGAAGATATTTTTAATAATTGTAAGGTCAAATTATTCTTCTATGTCTTATAAATTTTGCAAATTTTAGTATGCTATTATTATTGGTATAATAATACTTTTTGAAATAGCTATAACAATTTATTTTGTTGCTTTTAAATCTAAATTTCGAGAAACTATTACACCAAAATTAAAAGATGCAGTTCGAAATACATATGAAGGTCCATTTGGATTACAAGCTGGTAGTAAACTACGAAAACCATCAGCAATATCAGTAGCTTGGGATTTTATTATGTATAATGTAAGTAATTTTGAAGAAATAAATTTAAATAAAACATTGTATTCTTTTCTTTTCTTTTGTTTCTTTTAGTTTAAATGTTGTGGTGTTGATAACAAATTTGATTTTAATAACACAAAAGAATGGAATAAAACAAATCCATGGTGGAATTCAACTATGGGAAACGATTTTGAAAAGTTTCAGTATCCAATAACATGTTGTAATATTGGTAATGCTTTTACAGAAGATTGGAATAATTTACCTTATGACAAATTAGAAACAGTTGCTGTTTGTGCTGTCAATGGAACTAATATATATGAAGAAGTTAGTTTATTTTATTGTATGATGCTAGATAAAAGTTTATATATATATATATATATATTAGGGATGTTATGATAAGTTTATGAGTTTAATTGATACTGCTAAAACATGGATTATTGTAGGTGCTGTTATTATTCTTGTCATTGAAGTAATTATTCGTTTTGATAGAAACTTTTTTTTTTTGAAATATTTATTTGTTTTAGTTAATTGCATTCATTGTTGCTTTGGCTTTATGTTGTCGTAAGAAAAGAGACTCTAATTACTATTAGTGTTAAGAAAAGCCTTATGGAAAAATAACAATATTATATGATCTATCGAATTATTTATTTAGACATTTATTTTTGTTGTCGTTTTCTTTATTGCAAATATTTTAAGCTTATATTGAAAAACATTCAGATATATTTTCATGGTATATTTATCTATTCAAAAAAATCATTCATGAATGTTGTTCTCTTCTTTTTTCTATCTTATTATTTCGAATAATCTATGATCTTGTTATTACAATCGTTCAAGAAAATATTCTCAATATTTTACACCTATTTTTCTCAATCAAATGATTATCGTTTTCTTTATGTTAAACATCTGGTTACATTATTTCTCTTCTAGTTGTCTTTTATTTCGTACGACATTATCTTGAGAAAAAAAAAAACTTCAATATATTTATTTTTTCCATTTTATTTTTTGATTTGTTAATTTCTTGATATGATTTTGAAAGTAAGAAAATAAAAGAATGAGATGTGATACTGGCGGCAAATCAAAAATAGTGTTTCTACGCAGAAAAAACGTAATTTTTACAATCAAGATATGGTGAAAACTATTTTCATCTTTATCTATATGGTTATTTGCATAACTTCTGTTGTTGCAGGTAAATCAACATTAATTTTTCAGTCATAGAAGAGAATTAATAAGTTTTTGTTTTGAAAACTTTTACATCGTAAATGTAATGTTCCGTTTGCTGTCATAACAAAAACTTAATTCTATGAAATAGACTAGTATATTTTATTTATTTGGTTTTATCATGAATTATTTATTGTTCCGGAAAATCTAGTTTGTTTTACATTATACACACGACAGATTTGCATAAAATAATTTCAAGTGTCTCTTGTTTAGCTATAGAAAAGAATATTCTTATTTGACCTTTATTTAAAACTACATTATCAAAGTTTTAAGTTTTTTTCAGAAACATAGTTTAATTTATTCGAAAAAAGCTAATTTCAATAAAGAAAAATCTGGAATATTTTCATAGGAATATTTTACATAACAAATTTAATCGCTTTCTATCTTTTATGATTAGTTTTTCATCGAATTTCTTGTTGATTTTTCTTTCATACATAGTTCGATGTTTATTAGCCATTTCTTTGTATAATTCATTGTTTTTCGCTTCATACCATTTTCCTTTAAAAATATCTACTGATTTAGCTTTTTCATTGCTCATATTAGTTTCTTCTTGTGGTGATATATCATATATATTTTTTATCATATTTTAGTCCGCTAGCATGATTAGCATAGCGTCTTGATCGAGTAAACCCCATCTGTAAATATTTTCGACCCATATCAGCTCCGACAAAATCATTTTGATGAAGATAATTTTAAAAAAAGTTTATAAACTTTATTTGATGATTGAATAGCTTGTTCAACAGTTCTAAAACGTCAATGTGAACACATTTCATTTTTATATGGCTGACAAATGAAAACACCTTGTTCACTACCATCTATTCAATAGAGTTCAGGATGTTCACGATAATCAATATTTGCTTTCTAATCATATGATTAATGATTAAAATTAAGATACGATGGCAATCGTTGTTTTACTTTATTTGATGTTGATGAAATCGTTCGTTTTCGTGGCATTGAAATGAAAGAGAAAAAAATAGTTCTCATCTATAAAACATCTAGAAAAGAAACATATTTTATTATTTTGTTTTCTTTTTCATATAGAACTTATTATTTGGAAACTAAAACCAAAACACTTCGTACACATAGGTTCCCGATTTGAACAAAATTGTGAAATAAATAGACCATTGACAAGTGATGAATATATTTCATGGATATTATATAATCATGATGGTCAAATGAATGTGATTAATGCAGCTAATTTAATTATAGATTCTTTTGTAATAAATAATGAAGGTATTGCTATTTGTCAAATAACAGATAAAGATGGAATAATTATTGATGAAAAATATTTTTTTATAACTAGTGATCGTAAGTTCTAAAGATACTGAACAGAGAAAAAAAATCTTATAAACTCTTCTGTTTTAGCTACTGAACTAATTGATTATCGTTTTGAAGGTTATGATCAAACAGTTATTGATACTGATATTGATCATACAGAAAAAAATTGTGGTCCGGATGAAAATATAGCTTATACAAAAGAAGATATAGCTGATTTTCATATTGATTTTGTTCAACATTATGAACGTATACGACAACATTCAAATCATATACAATTTCAAAATGTTAAACATGAAAATGAAGGTTATTATGAATGTGTAGTTCGATTACATAATGGTCTTGTTGGTGTCCGAGTATTTTTTCTTAGTGGTAATGTGTTTTGATTTCAAAATCTATATTTTCATATATAGATTTTTATTAGTTGGTGGTGGTCCACGTGAAATATCCAATCGAGAAAAACATATTTATTCTGAAATAAATGATACAATAACATTACTTTGTCCAATATTTTCTGCATTACCAGTTTGGTTTACATTTCTTGTACCGAATAATTCTCTAGAAGATATTTCATCATTAACTGGTTATGATTATTTACGAATTAAACATGTTTCTAATATTCATTCTGGAAATTATACTTGTCGTGTAACAACTAATGATGATAATGAAGGTTATTCATTAACATCTAATTTATATCTTGATGTTTATAGTAAGATTTTTAATGATACTTGTCATGTGTAAAACATTATTTATTAGGTTCACCTGAATATATAGAACCTTATAAAAGTGAATATGTATTTTTATTGATTAAAAAAGATATTGAAAATCTTATACGTTGTTCATTAAATGGAAATCCAATGCCTAATTATCAATGGTTATTAGGAGATATTAAAGTATTGACAAATGAAGAAATACTTTCTGATAAAGTTGATTATATAATCATACCGAATGAAAATGATTCATTTGAATCAAATCGTACAGTGACATGTATAGCGAAAAATAATCGAGGTATTAAACGACAAGTTTTTATTCTGCAATTTATTAATTAGAATATATGTCAAACGAATAAACAAAAAAAAATTTATTTTATAATTGATGATTCATTTGGTTTTGTGTTATTGACTTTTCTAGACAACTAGAAAAATAACAAGAAATAATAATGCATCAGAGGACGTACGTTATCATTCTTTTTACTTATGTTTTTTAGATCTTGTATTTGAAAATGAGCTGATGTCATCTTGAAAATAGTTTATTCTGTTTTCTTATGAAAACTTTTCAATGAAATAATTTGATTACAATATGATTGACTATCTTCAGATATTATCTTGATGTTATCATTTTTAAATAGTTGAAAATATTTCATATTGACAAAAAAGATGTGATACTGATTAGAGACAAATATTGATTTATATTAATGTAAATATAGTTCATTTTGACATATATTGCCAAAAAGTAAAATCATGTACAGATGCCTTTTTTATTGATGGCAAAGTAGCTGTTATTACGATTTTGTCATTGAATTCTCTGATATATTTAAAATTTAATTATTTACGATTGCTTTCCAGTTCAGTGCAATATTTTTAACACATTTTTGTACTTATGGAACTTTTTTAATGAGCAACACATAGTTTCGATTCATCTTTGAAGGGTGTACACGTGTGTATAATAAAATAAATAAAAACTTCGCATTGAATCATACATCATGGTCTTTATCACGATATAATACAGTTGTTGTGTAACGGTATTGTGATCAACATTATTTACTTCACGCTATCTATTACTCAACAAAGTGTGTGGATGTACGATCTTCTCCTCATCTACACCCACTCTCTTATTTAAAATACATCAATATCGATGTCTTGATAAGCTTGCTAAAACAATTACATGTGTTTCTGACATAGCTGCACCAGATGAACGTATGTTTCTGCAAAGTGTTCTTTCAATGACACTGAATTCTTCGAGTTTTATAAAAGTTAATATTTCTATTCTGACATCATTAAAATGCAATAAGATATTTAATTTAAATGGTAATGAATAAATTTTACGTGTAAACAGGTTTAAGGTTGGGTTTTAGTTTAATAAGACATTACATTTCTTTTACTGTGATATTTCGCTGTGTAAAATAGAAGAGTTGATTATAGTGCTCTTATTTTGCTGATTAGTGGAGATTAAATGAGTTATTTTAATTTTATGTGTAATCTATTTCGGTTTTTGCGTGTAAAAACTGGGAACTAGATTTCGAGTTGTGCAAAAATTTTCTTTTTGAAGTTCTTTATAAGTATAAACAAAAAACTAAAAAATTAACAAAAATACCTTGACCACCAAGTTCTGGATAGAGTATCCTATTGGAATTTTGAATATTGTTTGCGAATCTTCAAGATAACAATGGAACAGTTGATTTAGAATTATTGAATACGGTAACATAATTTATACTTTTTTTGAAAAGATTTCTAGATTCTTCTTTCATGGTTTAGTTTTTATGCCATGTGAAACAGTGGCATGAGTTTTCAAAATCCATTCATTAAACGATTGTACTTAATGATGTGATGATTTCGATCAGAAAGATTTTTGCGCTTTAGTTGTCAAGCTAGCCTACGTTTTAGGCTGATACTTGAAAGAAACGCTATCATCCATTTCTGAAGAAATATTCTGTTCAATGTTGAAAAAATTGACAATGATAAAGTAGTACAGACTTTGCTTGGTTCAAAGATCACAGCTAGCATAGCAAAATATAGGTGATTATCTTCTCGACACATAAAGTCAGACGACTGCTGTGTCTACATGTCAACCATCAATGATTAAATGAACAATGCATCATCATCTTTTCAAGTTTGTTGAAATATGTTGACAAAAAACTTTTTTAAAAATCATTGTCAGTAAGTCTTCTTGACCTCCGATTAACTTTTCATTGTTAATTCATTGTGAATTTTTTTTAAGAATTCAAAATCTACTAACAAATTCTGGAAAGAAAAACAAAGATGCTTCTTTGTTTAAACTTGACATTTTTATTTTTTATTCAAAAACGACGGATGTACTTGTTTGTAATGAACTAACATTTTTTAAGGGTCTGAAAGTAAATAGTTTGAATCGTTGTTGTTCTACAACGCAAAAAGGAATGACTTTTTCCTTTTCAATAGATGAATTGAATTCTAAAATAGTTCATAAAATAATTTAATGTAAACAATATGAGCTCAACTATAGTAAAACTCTTTCACCTTTCTAAATATAGTATTAATGACCTAGATAAATTTTTTATTTATACGTATGTTGCTAATCTGTTAAAACATTTTATATAGTTTTGATAGCAATTCGAGGTTCATATTATGATAATCGCAAACAAAATAAATATAAATTGTTTTTTGTCATTGTTAATAATTACTCTCAAATAAGATCATACATAATATATGCGCAATAAATTAATTACTTATCAATAAGAAAGCTAATCCTTCTACTGAAAAGAAAAGTATGCAAGTATAATGAATCAATCCTTACAATTTAGTTAGTCGAATGGATTAAATTTGATGAAAAGACAATGTTTTATTGTAATAAAAGTTCTTTTTTGTGTTTTTAATAAAAACAACCAACATGATGGAAAGTGTTATCATTAGCTCGTTCTTTGTCAGTTCTTTATCTATAAAACATATTTGGTTAGTTATGAATTTTTCACCCTTAGTACGTTGAAAGTTTATGTAAAGACGAACAAAACAAAATTTCTGTAAGTAAATTGAATTTACACTTATTTACAATAAATCAAAATTTTTATCAAATAGAAAACAACGTAATTTCCATGGAAAAAATAATTTGCGTCGTTAAAATTATTTCAAATAATCATTACTGGCAATCTTTACTATGTTTATTGAACATAGATGTTTAAAACTAAATTGAAAATTCTATTAAACATAATAATAATAATAGTAATAATATCAAGTAGAAATGATGTATCATCATTTTAATTTGCAACTAGCTATATTTTACAAAAGTAACTAATATCTTTTTAATCTTTGAGTTTAAGCGCCTTATAGATTTAACACATGGTATAACATTAACATAATATGAAGGTTTAATAATTCTTACATTAGTTTTTCTTCTGCATGAATGATATTCATCATTTATCTCGAGAGAAAAAATCTACTGTTTGGAAAGAAAAAAAATCTGCAAGTAAAATGGATACGTGCTTGTCTGTTTTATTTATGACGTGTGTGCCATAAATAATAGCATCATTCATATTTTTCTTTTTGTTTTGTCCACGTTTATAAGTAGAAAATTAAAGTTAGTGTCAAATGATAAGCTGTTCGATTCTCTATAAAATCACACGAACACATTAGATCTAACCTTCAAAGTTGTCGATAGTATCGAAGAACATTGAACTTCACCAATAAGTGTCGATGTTTTAGAAGATTTTTCCTAAACAATCGTCGATATTATTATGTGACTTTCTTTTGGACAGACGAAGCATGTTATAGAAATTTTATTGTAATACCAGGCATAGCTCCTTGTCTCGATATGTACTGACAGACATTTCCAAAGAACATCATGACACGGAAACGAGTTTCTTTACATTGAGTGACAAAGAGTATATTGAGTGGGAATATTCATATTCACTGAGTGCAGCTAAAAATTTTCTTATAAGTGTTTCATATTTCTTTTAAACTGATCGAAACTTTACGTTGGAATATTTCATTATGGTCGTTGTTCATCGAATTTTCTCAATCTTCAATAATAGTAGTTTATAATGATAATTATTGGAAAATTTGATGAGAACAGTCAATCTTTCTCTAAGTATTAGTTTATGATGAGATACTTAATTCCTAAAGATTTCCAGATGCATCGATCGATTCACAAAAAATCGAATATGAGTTGTTTTACGCTAGAAATGGGTAGATATTGGAGAAGCTACATGCATGCTATCCAACATTGGCGGCGACTTTTAAGATTAGAGTTAATGCTTCTGCGCAATTTTGTAGAGAATGGAATAGCGAGCTTTTTTAGAGCAAGTGCAATTTTTTATCTATAAGCATGATCAAAATCAATAATAAATATGAATGGCACCATTATTTATGGTGTACTCGTTATTTCAAACAAATAATGCATCACTCAAAGTTGTTTTATTTAAAATAATAACGAAGAAATCTGAAAAAAAAAACAAATTTAGAAATTGATTTTAGATTATTAAGATGGGTCATGGTAGTATGAGTTACCAGTTGAAAACTGTTCGCTTAATAATGGTATTAGTTAATGTGATACTTTTTGTAAGTTCAATATTTCTACTGTTTTGGTTTTAATTTTTAATAGAATTATTTATCTAGTTGATCGGTGCAACTTTATTAGGTGAAGGTATTGATCTTCTAATTAGTGGACGTTTTCATAATTTTACAGAATTTATATCAAATGTTCAAAGTGTGTTACTAAATAATTTAAATAGACAGCTAAAATGAATTCATAAAATATTATTTATAGGTTCAAATAATACAAAAAATAATGTGGTATCTGATGAAATTTTATATATAATTATGATCATTCCCGGTTTTACACTTCTATCAATTGGATTTTTTGGTTGTTCTGGTGCAATAACTCAAATACATTGTCTTTTATTTTTTGTAAGTATATACCAGTGGGCATAAGTTTAGACCAGTTGTATTGTTGAATTTTCTTCTCGATGGTTATAGTTAACAAGCATCTGAAACAAAACATTTACGTAGCTAAAAAGATTCTCTATCCGGATTGACAAGATCGAAAATTCCAATAAAACTGCTTTGATGGAGATCTATGAAAAATCAATACTTCTAAAATCAACTTTCTGACTTCTATTCGAGGCTTTGGGGAAAAGTTTTTATTTGATAGAACAAAATAAAACGACTTCGACCTTTTCATGACTTTTCTTCATCGAACTTCATTCAATTTATAGAAGGTCTCCAAGCGTCCTATAGGGCAAAACCAACGCAATTTTCAATAAAAAGAAAAGAAAAATGCTTTTATGATCTACTGTAAATTGCATGTAGTTCGATGAATAAAGGTTACGAAGAAATCGAAAACGTCTCATATTACTCTA